AAGCGGACCTACGCGCCCTGCGGGGCTGGGCCGCCCGGCGCTGGCTGCCGGCAGGTAAGAGGCCCGGCGGGCCGCCTCCCCCCCCCCCCCCGCTTTGTTTGCGCCAAGTCGGGCCACCTCCAAGAGGCGCTTTCCGAGGGAGACACACACACGCCTTTATTTCTGCACACACGGTCGCAGAGCTCAGACACACCATGCGAGGCGGGAAAACTGGCTTTGAAAAAAAAGTATTCCCCAGCCCCGAGGAACCCCAAAGGAAGCTCTGGACCTAACCATAACGGTCCTGAAATAGACGTCTAGGGCCCTCGACATCTGATCCCACCAGGCGTTGCAGGAGGTCCACCGTGACCCCTCTCGCCGCCCAGCTTCCCTCCGTTAGGGATTTCCACGGCTTCTAATTCCGTCCTGCCTCGGTCTTCAGAGGAGCTCTGGTTTCCCGCGCTATTTCGGGGCCCAGACTAACTTTTAGGGACGTTTTCCAGCCCCTCCTCCCCGCCCATTCCTTGAGACTTGATGCTGAATCTGATCTCCTGAAGGGTCAGCGGAATTCCCCAGGGGTCCCCAAGGCAGGGTCTGTGAAATTAGCACAACAGTGGAGGTCGGAGGGTTTGCGGTCTGGGAATCAACACGGAATAGTGAGATGTGGGACCCCGGCCCGACCCCAGGGATTCGGAGAATGCGGCCAAACAGGGGAGAGACAGTTCAAATCAGATACAACTTGTCAAAGTCCCATGTGGCACTCCATGAATCTCCAAACAGACGTGGGTCCCCCAAATAATACACTGCAAAGATGTTTAAAGGAAAGAAATAGAAGATTTGGAGCCAGGTAATACCCTTTTAACAGCCACAATTTCTAAATGGTGGTGTGATAATAATTTTGTATTATATTAGAAAACCCAGTGTTCTAGGTAAGAAAATATAACTTTCTCTTTCCTGAGAATCTCAGAAATAGGAAATAATGACAATGTCATCGACCCCTATATTTCCAATAAAACAACTCTTATTGGATGGCGTAGGGGGAAGAAGCATATTTGAGAACATGTTTCATTTAAAATTACAGAAACCTTATCAAAATATCGGTCTTTCCTAAATATTTAAGGATTGTTATCAGTACAGAGCATATTTCCTTAAATATTGAGTAGGGCTTCAGAAGAGAAAAAGCATAAAATCAAACAGACAGTAGATCCTTGATGTGATAGGAGACAAATTTTAATTTTGCAACTATTTTAATGGATGAAAGTTCTTGTGTTTTGCAAACATGTAGAGTCATTGTACATGAAAAACTGAAGAATCACCCTCATTTTTCTCTTCACCTCTGCATATCAATTAGAGAAGAAGGATGTATTTCCAAATGCCAACATGTTACTTCCTATTCCATGCAATAACACTTTTCCCCACATGCTTTAATTTCTCTTCTCCTGGTCCTTTGCCAGCTTGGCTCCTTTGGGATTCCTAATCATTCTGTTGTCAGCCTTCTAAGAACCTGGTTTTAATTTTGTTTGGTCTTTGATAATATAATCAGAAAAACCTACTAGTTAAAAGCCATTTCATGAGAGAGCTTCTGACATTTTAAAGAAGTTTCAGGAGCCTACATCACTTGTCACAGAAAGCAGCCCACAAAAAATTGCCAACATTCAAGTTCCACTCCAGGAACTCCTATAGTCAGTGAGGCCTAGAGGGGAAGCAGAGTCTCTGAGTCTCTGAGATGCAATCCGGGAATGTTCTGGAATGCAATGCTGACTGCCTGGGCTTATTTAAACAGGAAATCGCTGAACTAGATTTTGGTAAGTGCCCTCTTGAGCACTACTGTACTTAAGTTTTATAGATACTATCTCAAATGCTCATGAATATAGTGATGTTTCTGTTCAGTGACTTTTATTTGATTTAATTAACACAGCTAGAAAAGAAAAAGCACCCAGCAATCTCATTTGAAAAAAAGAATCATTGCCTCATTAAAAATTAATTTTTAAAAAAGCTTCAAAAATTCAAATTATTCAATAAAAAAGTGAATGCCAAAGAATGACAGGGCCAGTTTCATACTTTAGTATGGTAGCTACTTTTATATTATTTTCTGAATCTCAATATTTTCTTTGACTATTACTTTAGGATAAGGTCCATATCTGTTTGATGTTTTCAGGACAGAGCATACCTCTTAGCCACTACAGAAATTTAACATAATTTACTACACTTTACATGAATGTTTAGTTTCTGCAGGTTCCACCTCTTTACCAGTTAGTCTTTAAGATGGCCTTTCAGAGCTGTCTCATGGCAAGTGTTCTTTAGGTTGTTATAAAGTGAATACCTAGCCCTAATTTAAGATTTGAAAAAACTCTTTCTTTTGACTGGGCATGGTGGCTCACACCTATAATCCCAGCACTTTGGGAGGTCAAGGTGAGAGAATTGCCTGAGCACGCAGGTTTGAGACAAGCCTGGGCAACTTGGTGAGACCTCATCTCTACAATAAATTTTTTAAAAATTAGCCAGGTGTGGTGGCACGTGCCTGTAGTCCCAGCTACTTGGAAGGCTGAGGCAGAAGGATCACCTGAGCCCAGCAGGTCAAGACTTCAGTGGCTGTGAGCGTGTCACTGTATTCCAGCCTGGGCAACAGAGTGAGAATCCAACTCAAAAAAAAAAAAAGCAAAAAAAGAACAAAAAACTCTTTCTTTTAATAAGATAAAATTCTTATGATTTATCTTGGCAATGTTATATATATGTATGTAAATATTTACAACTAGGTATATAAAATGCAGAGCTCACCTGTTTAAGGTTTTAACACCATCATTTCCCAGAGACACCTAAGAGGTCTTCATTTTGGCCTCTCCAGACCCCCATCGGCCATGTGGTCTTGAAATGGACAAATGTGGAAGTTTACTGAACTTTCCACCCCAATTCAAATGTCTCCTCCTAAGTACTCTTTAGCGGAAACATGTCTTCCCACTAGGCCCTTTGGAAAAATTCACTCCTCTCAAAGTTTTTCTCTTATTGCTTAAGTAGTATTTCTAAACCTGTGGACGAAATAAGAGACTTTATGCATATCCTTGGTCTACCCAGTTCTTGAGTGCTATATACTTGTTGCTTGCAGAATATTAGGAGCAGATGGAAGGGCCTTTTATAGATAACACTCAAGCCTGGAGAGATTATGGAGTCACCCAAAGCCGCGTAGCTCCTGAGTAGTAAAATCAAGTGAATTGCAGCCCTCCTAGCTAGACCCAGGGTTCTATTATTAAGAGGAAATGTAGTGTGCTGGTTAAGGGTAACTGCACAAGTTCGAACCCTAGTTTTACTACTTATCAGCTGTGTAAACATAAAGAAATTACTTCTGCTCCAGTTTTCTTGTCTTTAAAATGAGATTCATTATTTTAGGAGCTTGGTGGAGGCAAGAAAAGTGAAATAGGTTGGGCTCTAAATTCTTGAAAATGATAGAATCGCTGTCTAAAGTCAACTTCCGTTCAAGCAATTCAACATTTTTTTAAAAAGCAGTAACATAGCTGGGGGTGGTGGTTCACGGCTGTAATCCCAGCACTTTGGGAGGCCACGGTGGAAGATTGCTTGAGGCCAGGAGTTCGAGACCAGCCTAGGCAACATAATGAGACCTCATCTCTACCAAAAAAAAAAATTAGCCGGACATGGTGGCAGGCACCTGTAGTCCCAACTACTTGGGAGGCTGAGGTGGAAGGATCGCCTGAGCCTAGGAGGTCCAGGCTGCAGTGAGCTGTGATTGTGTCACTGCACTTCAGTCTGGGTGATAGAGATTCTGACTCAAAAGAAAAAAAGGGCAGTAAGAAAGAAAATATGCTAATTAGGAGGGAGGTAGCTATAGTTTTTATTATTTTGTGGGTTTAGACTAGTTGGTTCTTTCTCCTATTTACAGTGTCTTCTTCCTTCAGATGCTTCATTGACTAAGACAATTGACTTTCCTTATTCTTTTTCTTTGCTCTACAGAGATTATACTTGAAACCTCTTGTCATAATAAAGGGTTGATACAGTTTTCCATTGTAGCCATTAAAATGCTTATGTTAAAATAACTAATGCCAGAATAACTCTGAATGAATTTATATTTTCTCTCATATTCTTCCTCTTACTTTCTTGCTACTCTAGGCTGTGAAACAGCGATTTTATTCCCGATGCGTTCCAAGAAGATTTTTGGAAGCGTGCATCCGGAGAGACCCATGAAGCTCGAGTCTTTTAGTGCCTGCGTTTGGGTCAAAGTCACTGATGTATTAAACAAAACCATCCTGTTTTCCTATGGCACCAAGAGAAATCCATATGAGATCCAGCTCTACCTCAGCCATCAGTCCATAGTGTTCGTGGTGGGTGGAGAGGGCAACAAACTGGTTGCTGACGCTGTGGTTTCCCTGGCAACGTGGACCCACCTATGCAGCACCTGGAATTCAGAAAAAGGGCTCACGTCCTTGTGGGTAAATGGTGAGCTGGTGGCTACCGCTGCCGAGATGGCCCTAGGTCACAGTGTTCCTGAGGGAGGAATCCTGCAGATTGGCCAAGAAAAGAACGGCTGCTGTGTGGGCGGAGGCTTTGATGAAACATTAGCTTTTTCTGGGAGACTCACAGGCTTCAATATCTGGGACCGTGTTCTCAGCAATGAAGAGATAAGGGAGACTGGAGGAGCAGAGTCCTGTCACGTCCGGGGGAATGTCGTTGGCTGGGGCGTCACAGAGATCCAGCCACATGGAGGAGCTCAGTACGTTGTCTAAGTATTGTGAAATCTACTTGAAGCCAAAGAAAGAAACTCACATTTAAAATATATGCCAGTTGGGAAGGTCTAAAAAGCCTCAATGCATAATAAGAACATTTGAGACTAATGAAGGAAAGAGTTGAGATCAATCTTTATTTATCTCGGCAAAATACTGAATAAACAGTTGAGGGGAAGACATGGAAGGAAGCTTTGGGGGATATTGTTACTAGACTTTATGCCATGGTGCTTTCAGATTAATGCTGGTCTCTGTCAGATAAACTCTCAAATAATTAAAAAGGACTGTATTGTTGAACAGAAAGACAATTGTTCCACTTTTCTTTGGTTAATTTTGTTTTGGCCAGAGATGAATTTTACATTGGAAGAATAACAAAATAAGACTTGTTGTCCATTGTTTATTGTTATTGGTATGTACCCTATTACAAAAAATGATGAAAACATATTTATACTAGAAGGTGACTTAACAAATATAAATGTAGTTTATGTGTTATACTCGAATGTCACTTTTTTGAGAGGACAGCCCTATAAGTTATATTGGGAAATGGATTTGTATTAATTTTATTAAGACTATTTTTGTAAAGCTCTACTGTAAATAAAATGTTTTATAAAACTAATTCATGGCATCTAGTTGCAAATGGAAGCAATGTTTTGGAGCAAACCCACCTTTTTCACTTTTCATCTGAAGTAGGCAGTTAGTTTTCAGAGACTAATCTATTATATAAACAGCAATAGATAATATAGTTAGAAATGAACTAGAGAGTTGTTTTAAGCTTTGGTTTCCCGGAAATTATATGGAAGAAATACTGGTCGTGTCAGTTCATCTCTCTGCATTTTAATTTTTTCAACTAAGAAATCAAGAAATTGAGAAAATAATGATCTCTAGGTCTTTTCCAATTTGATGATTCATGTGCTATGTAACACAGAAAACAAATCACAAACAAACAAACAAAAACAACCACCAAACAGGAAGTGTCAGAGTTCCCCAGATACCCATGATGTAAGCAGTGACTGAGGACTGTTATTTGGAAGATCTGAGAATCTGGAACAGAAACAGCTCCTTCCCTGAAAGCACACCCACTCTTCTCCATGAAGGAGAGGTCAGGCCCCTTCACACTATAGATTGGGAGGTAACTCTTCCCTATCACACTCATGTTCTTCTGTAGATTCTGCTGGAGGTACATAGAAAGACCTTACAAAGCTGCTTCTGAAATGTAACAGAACCACAGTGATGATGTGTCCTCTTAAAGATAGGGCCTGAATAACCACAGCCGATTTCCTGTTCATGAGGTTTGGAGAACAGGGCCAGGAGTAACTTTGTAACTAACTAGCTTTTTTTTTTTTTTTAACTAACCAATAGCATTTAATGAGTTTGAAAATATATAGGCATCAGTAAAAGGAGTAAGAAATTGTAAAACTGAGATAAAATATCCAAAAAGAAACAGCAGCATGCTGGTTTAGGTTAGCACACTGGCACACAGTTTTACTTACCAGAAAAGATATTGGCGGCATTACCACATTATGGTGTAGTAAAATAATTGAGCAAGATGACTCAAGTCATTAGGAGGAAAAAAATGTATGTAATTCATATATATATATATATATATATAATTATATGTATGTATATGTGTGTGTGTGTGTGTGTATATGTGTGTGTATATATATATATATATATATATAATATTACTTGTGTGTGCTAGAGTGACTCACTGTTCTGGTTGTCCTGGGACTGTCCCAGCTTTAGCATTGAAAGTCCCATGTCCTGGGCCAGGCACTGTGGCTCAAGCCTGTAATCCCAGGACTTTGGGAGGCCGAGGTGAGAGGATTGCCTGAGCTCAGGGGTTCGAAACTAGCCTGGGCAACTTGGTGAGACCTCGTCTCTACAATAAATCAAAATAAAAACATAAATAAGCCAGGCACGGTAGCGTGAGCCTGTTGTTCCAGCTTCTTGGAAGGCTGAGGCAGAAGGATCACCCAAGGCCAGCAGGTCGAGGCTGCAGTGGCCATGAGTGTGCCACTGCATTCTAGCCTAGGTGACAAAGTGAGACTCCAGTTCCAAAAAAAAAAAGTCCCATGTACTGGGAACCCCTCAGTCCCAAGCAAACTTGGATAGTGCATCACCGTAATATATATGTATACGTGTCCAGCAGAGCAACTTCTCTGGACAAAACACAGTTGATTTATTTTCCTTGACTATTACAATATAAATTGACTTTTAAGTATTCACTCCTTTAAAATATATTTGGAACATTTGACTACTAAGCATATATTGTAGAATTTTAGAGCTTGGTATTTATAATTACTTAACTGACTTCACTTTAACAAAGAATTAGATTTGCGAACAAAAAATTATAATTGATCTTTTTTTCATTTCTTGTAAATCTTACATTAGAAATCTGGCTCTTCTTTTAGAAGCCTACTAAAGCCAAATGTTTCCAAAATGTCTTTAAGTCACTTATGAAATAGCACTCCTAAGGCTAAAAGTCTTGGTCAAAGAAATTATATATATTAATATATTAATATATATGTATTTAATTATATCATAATTATATCATAATTAAATATATATTTATATATATTAATTTATATATATTCTCAGATTCAGAAAGCACGTGCATTCATATTGCCGAACTTTGCATTCGGTTTTATAAATCTGGAGTTTAGAAGAAAGTTTGCTAGGCTTTAGGTCAGAAATCCAGCATTTAAATCCTGGCACCAACATCTGCTGACTTAATAATTATAAGATGTTGGACCTGTCAACTAACCTTTCTGAGTCTCAAATTAGCCAAGAAATTAGGGATAACAAGACTTGCTTACCTTGTTGAAGAGTTACTAAGCAGATATTGTTCATAAAAGTACTCTCTAAACCATAAAAATGATATTGAAATAAGATAGTTATCTTAAAAATATTTTTCCAAGTTGCTCCCAGTGGGTTGAAACATAAATAAGCAAACAAAAAAATAGATATAAGTATTCTCTTCCACTGTGGGTAAGTCATTTTGAGTTCAGCCCACAACATCCAGATCCGTGCAAGCCTTGCTCTACTTCACAGCAACATCTGCTGGTGAAGTCAAGAAGGTGCAAACTCTGACTTATATCAGCTCCAAGACTTGGTTAACAATTCAAAAGTCCTTTGGTATTCCAAGGTGTGTCTCGCTATCCCTTGCCATATTTGGACTGGCTTTTTACAATACTACATTTCCTATGTGTATTAATATTCAGGTTGGATATTCTTAAAAAGATTTCTTAGTAGCTTGTTTCCCAGAATATTTGATTCATAAATTATTTTCCAACAATCTGTAATATGGTTAACTTGAAAACCTTTCCCTTTAAGAATAATTGCCTTGAATTTTTCGTAGTTAAGCATCTCCCTGGGGGTTATGAAACTCTATGAGTGGGTATGGTTCTGCCTCTAGTCTTTTAACATGGACATAGAACATGGCCGATACTCAATCAGTAATGACAACAACGATGATGATAGTGATGATGATGATAAGAAGAATAACGGTAACTGTCGATGATTATGTAAAGTATAGATGTTTTATCTATGTAAGCCTCATCCATTCCACGTGGTGCATATTATTATTGCCATGATAATGGGGGTCAATTTTCTGTCTCCATTTTTCTGAGATAGCTCACTAATCAGTGGTTTGAATTTTGTCTCACATAGAGAAAGAAATGAGGTGAATTTATCATAATTAAATAGACAGTCTTTTCCAGGCTATTGCTGGTAACTCAGAAAGGAATCTGGACTCTTGCTGCGATAACATTATATTTTCTTTCCAAAGACTCTCTTTCTACCTAGGTTTCAGCTCATTTGAGATCATCCTGTGACTTGTGCCAGAGGACCATATAAAAGGCATATTGATGGGAGGCATATTTCTTTATTATGATCACTGATTCAGAAATGCAGAAGGGACAACACTGCTTTTAGATTTGATAGCAATGGTATGCATTGCCCACAGATTTCCAGATCAAAATTTGGAAAGGGTTTTTCTGCAGGCCCTCAGTTAAACCCTTACAGTTGTGGACACCCTCATTTTAGGGGTCTATAAAACTTCGGTCAGCTTCTTGGTGAAAGATATGCTAACTCATGCTGCACTAACCCTTGCTTATGCTTTTATTTTCCAGTACTTGACAGGTATTACATTCATCTTCACATGGCAAGTTTGGACCACTGAATACAAATTTCCCTCTGAAAAGATTCTGATCTTACAAAATATCAAACTACCCTGATATGATTTAAGTAAAAACCAAATTCATTATTCAAATGACATCCTTGTCTTTTTTTAATTCAAAGGGAAGCATTCAATATTCTACAATAAGTATAATTTTAGTTTAGTTTGTTGTTATAGATACCTTTTATGAGAATAAGGATGGTCTCTTATATTGCTAGTTTGCTGACAGACTTTTAAAAAAATCATTAACAGATTTTGAATTTTACTAAAAGACAGATTTAAATTTGTTTTGTATATTTAAGTCCTTTTTCCATCTGATATTAATTTATGCATGTTGTGATATGGCCAATTATCTGAGAAGCATTTATTAAATAGTCTATCCTTCTCTGTTTCACAGATTCCCCTGGCATGCATTCAGTTTCCACATATGCCTGGGTTTGTTTCTTGCCTTTCTAGCCTATTCTATGTGTTATTTGCCTGTTCTTACACCAGTGCTACCCTGTCTTAGTTACTATGATGTTACAATGTCCTGATATTTGGTAGGGAAATTACTGCCTTCTCCTCTCCAACAACTCTCACCTTTTCCTTTTGCAAAATTGTTTTGACTGTTTCAATTTATCTTACTTGTGAATTTTAAAATCAGTTTGCCATCGTTCATGAAAATCTCTGTTGCTAGGTTATTAAAATTTTACTGAAATCTACTGAAAATTTACATCTTTGCTACATCAAGGTATCCCATCCATGAAAATAGTATATGGTTTATTTGCTTATTTAATTGCTTTCAATAAACTTTTATAATTTTATTCTCAAAAGTTACATACATCTCATCATTTCTTCCATGTATTGTATGTTTGTCTACTTTAAATAATATTGCATTTTCAATTTATTACAACTGGCATATAGTAAAACAACTGGTTTCTATAAACTGATCTCACTTCTAGCAACTTTTCTGAAATCTTTCTTATTATGTCTAAAAATTGACTGGAGAGTATCTGGATTTTCTACTATAGAAAATCATATTTTCCAGAACTAATGATTGTTTTATCATATCCTTTCTGATTGTTATAACTTTCATTTATTTTCCTTGTCTAAGCTAGGGCTTATAATGCCATAGCTATAGAAGTAGATATAGTAGTATCCTTGTTTTATGTCTAAACATAGTAGCATTTTAAAAGAATGCTTCTTCTGTTTCACCATTATCTACCTATTTTATTTTTTGGTTGCTGTTGCTGTTTTGAGTCGGAGTATTGCTCTGTTGCCCAGGCTGGAATGCAGTGTCACAAGCATGGCTCTCCACAGCCTCTTAACTCCTGGGTTAAAGCAGTCCTCTTGCCTTGGCCTCCCAAAGTGCTGGGATTAGAGGTGTAAGTCACTGCTCTTGACTACATATCATTTTAGACAGGTTAAAACTTTTCTCTAAAATTTCTAGTAAGCATTTT